TCAGGGATGATAGAGAATGAAAATACGCTCAGGCGTTTTTTTCATTTTTTCAAAATTCACTTCCGGTCGTCAGTTATGTCCGATTTCCGCTTTTTTCAAAAAAGTTTTGTCCGAGTCATATCTCATAAACGGTAAAAGATGAAGACACCAAACTTATATGAGTAATAGATCTTGATAATTAGGCAAAACCAATCGGGTTAACATCGTGCGCCGTCACTTCCGGTCGTCACAGGAAGTGATCAAAGAAATCGAAAATTTCAACTTTTTATTTTTTGAAACTTTTTTGCATCACATTATAGCATCTTGTTTGTAGTTTCGAAATATATCAGTCTCACCGGAAACAAAAACGACAACTTCCGGTTATAAGAGAAGAACTGCATATTTTCAGTATTTTTCTCTCCCATAAATATTTTTTATGCGTAATGTATTTGAAATGGTTTCTAGATATGTTATTCAGACTGCAAATGTCTACAGTAACGTCAAATATCCTTGTAAAATTTACTTCCGGTCGCCTGGTTTCCTGTCCTCAAAATGAGAAGTTATTATAGCTAGATCTCGTAAACGGTAAGAGATAAAGACACCAAACTTAAAGGAGAGATAGATCTTGATGAGTATGCAAAAACAATTTGGATAAGATTGTTCGCCGTCACTTCCGGTCGTCACAGGAAGTGATCAAAGAAATTAAAAAAATCAATTTTTCTTTTATGAAACTTATTTTGCATCAAATTAAAGCATCTTCTTTGTAGTTTTGAAATGTAGCAGTCTCACCGGAAACAAAAACGACAACTTCCGGTTATAAGAGAAAAACTGCATAGTTTGAGCATTTTTCTTTCCTATAAATATCTTTTATACAAAAACCATTTGTAATGATTTTTGGATATGTTATATAAACTGCTAATGTCTACAGTAACTTCCAATATCTTTATGAAATTCACTTCCGGTCGCGTGATTTCCTGTCCTCAAAATGAGAAGTTATCACAGCTAGATCTCAAAAACGGTAAGAGATTAAGACACCAAACTTATGAAATAATAGATCTTGATAAGTTGGGGAATTCCTTGTTATAAGATTGTTATAAGATTGTCCACCGTCACTTCCGGTCGCCACAGGAAATGATAAAAGAAATCGAAAATTTCAACTTTCCTTTTATGCAACTTTTTTTGCATTACTTTTTAGCATCATATTTGTAGTTTTGAACCATATGAGTCCTACCGGAAACAAAAACGACAACTTACAGTTATAAGAGAAAACCTATATGATTTGAGTATTTTTCTTTCCCATAAATACTTTTTATAGATAAAGTATTTGAAATGATTTTTGAAGAAGTTAATCAGACTGCTTATGTCTACAGTATCATCCAATATCTTTGCAAAACTCACTTCCGGTCGCGTGATTTTTTGTCCTCAAAATGAGAAGTTATCATATCGAGATCTCGAAAACGGAAAGAGAAGAAGACACCAAACTTAAAGGAATACTAGATATTGATGAGTGGGCAAATCCAATTGGATTACAGCTGTCACTTCCGGTCGTCATAGGAAGTGATCAAATAAATCGAAAATTTCAACTTTTCTTTTTTGAATCCCTTATGGCATAACAGTTTTGCATCTTATTTGCTGTTTCGAAATATGTCGATCACTCCCACCGGAAACAAAAACGGCAACTTCCGCTAATATGAGAAAAACAACGTAAATTTGAGTATTTTAATCTCCAATAAATATCTGTTATAGAAAGAGAATTTGAAATATTTTTAGATATATTATTCAGACTGCTACTGTCTATAGTAAGGTCAAATATCCTTGTAAAATTTACTTCCGGTCGAAAGATTTCCAGTCCTTAAAATAAGAAGTTATCATAGCTTGATCTCGAAACAGTAATAGTTCAAAAAACCTAACTGATATTATTAATAAACCTAGAGGAGTAGGAAAAAGATATAAGATTAAATGCATCAGCATTCTGGTTTAAAGAGATAACATCTTTATTTCGATGTTTAACTTTCCCATAAATATCACTTATAGCCGAAGTATTTAATATATATATATATATATATATATATATATATATATATATATATATATATATATATATATATATATATATATATATATGAATAGCTGCAGAACTGTAGCTCTCTGCTTGAGAAAATTCGGACAGATAGAGCAGAGAGCTACAGATCCAAGCGTTGTAAAAACCTTCGATTTACGCCGACCTTTTTTCGTCGCTCATTATGGGTATTTTTTTGTGTATTTTATACTTCCCCAAGCTTTGGAAATAATTTTAAATGGTATTTAATAATTATTCATACATTCAACTTCAATTCCTGATCATTTAATTACTTACCTCTCAACGCTAACAAATGGCTGTTTGTGGTTACGGACGTCGAAATGGAACTCTTTAACCGACATTACAAAACTATATACAGGACTGTTTCGGACCGTTAAAAGGTAAACAAAGGTCAAATATAAGAGTTAAAATACGTGGACTGTTATAGGATACCATTCTAGAAGCATGAGAAAGATTAATCTACACGAAATAAATACCTAAAGTAGCGACAAAAAATCGTCGGCGTAAATCGAAGGTTTTTACAACGCTTGGATCTGTAGCTCTCTGCTTTATCTATCCGAATTTTCTCAAGCAGAGAGCTACAGTTCTGCAGCTAATATATGAAAGGTACTCATAATCAAAATTCGATTATCGTGTAGACTTGAAAATTGAAGAGTTGTGAATTACCTGCGTTTTCATCACAGCGCGAAAATATATATTCCGTAAAACAAGTTTACAACATGAAAGATATACACATTCGTTATAATTATATACTTAATGTCAACAGTTTTATATTCGGAACTACACATTTGGATGTTTGACATATCTATATGAAGAAAATGAAACTGATATCACTACAAATTTCAATTATTTGGATCTACAATTCAAAAAATCATGTTTACAAACATACAATTTGTACAAGCCTGGATTTATGAAGACGATTACCCTCATTACGAAAATTATTATTCTTGTCATTATGGGTATTTCCTGTGTGGACAGAGTGGTGGATCTGTGTGGTTTTTATGTCACGTCATATTAAAATAGCAGGTGCGTGCTTAAAAAGATAACAAGGAATAGATATGTAAAGTATGAAAGCTTAACCCTTCATATTAAAAGTTAAGGTCAAGTTTTTTTTTTAAGTAGGTCAAATACAGAAGGTCAAAAATCTTGTTATCCAATGAAATGTGTTGTCACAAGGAATAAATGTGTGACGTATGAAAGCCCTGGCTCTTACCATTCAAGTGTTTTTTTAAAGTGGGTCAAACTCCAAGGTCAAAGGGTTTAAGTGCTTGCTATCTAATGAAAGGTCTTGTAACATTACATATGTGAAGTATGAAATCCCAAGCCATAACTCTTCAAAAGTTATAGCCAAGGTTAATTTTTATAAAAAGTGGGCCAAACTCCAAGGTCAAGATCAGAAGTCAGAGTTCTCCAATGAAAGGACTTTTCACAAGGATTACATATGTGAAGTATGAAAGCTCTAATTCTTTCCGTTTTAAAGTTATGGCCAAAGTTTTTTTCCATGAGATGGAAATCTCCCAAGTCATTGTCAAAGTTGTTGCTATCAAATGAAAGGTATTGCCACAAAAAAAAACCTAGGTGAAATATTAAAAAGATAGTATTTACCACTCAAAAGTTATGGCCAAAGTGAAAATTAAAGATGTATGCGTAAAAAGTGGGTCAAACTCTATGGTCAAGTTCAAAATTGGTGGTACCTAAAGAAATGTCTTGTCACGAGGAACAAACCTGTGAAATATGAAACTCATAATTCCAGTAATTCAGAAGTTATGGGCAAGGTTTAAATTTTTGTGATGGACTGACAAACTGACGACTGAGATTTAATGTCACCACGCTTTTGGTTACGATGTTCCCTGCGCTAACAAATTTCGAGAAAACTCGCATATAGATCACAGTCAAGGTCACAAGGTCATTGACCTTGGTGTCTATTTAAAGAACTTAAGGAGGAATGCCACACCAAATTTTAATTTTATAGATCTATTAGTCAACCTTTTTAAACAAAGGTTTCAGCATTGAAAGGCCGATTTTAGCTCTTAATTTTTTATATGATTTTTTTGATATTTTTCCAAAGAAAATGGAAAAAATATGTATGAAAATAAAACATGTTATTTGTGAATATTTTTTAAACTTGTGGATAAAAATCTTTTGAAAACCAGTCATACATGTAACTGGGGAAAACATGTCTGTTAATCATATTTATAAAAGAAATTGAAACGAAATAGCCAAATTTTAAATAAATTAATCATTTAAACTTTGACCAAACTCGATCAAAATTTAACCGACTCCAACCATGAAAGTACAATTAATGGAAATAAATAACATTTCCCCAGCAACACTAATCTTATTAGGTGTAAAAAGGGTCAAAGATTATTGAGCTTGACAATCAAGTAGATTTCTTCATTGTAGCTACATGAAAGAGGCAATAAATTAGTATTTTATTCATTCTGTGTTAATTTTGATCGGGATCAGTTTTATTTTGATTGGGTTAGTCCAAATATTAAAAAAAAAATGATTCTCTAGAATTTCTCAATTTCTTTTCAATTTCATTTTAAAATATGATTAACAAACATGTTCTCCCTCGGTGCTTAAAAATATATCTAAATCCAGGAATCCATTTTTTGTTTGCGTCATCTCATTTTTCATCTGCCCTTAAGCCTTTGGTGCAGGTGACAAAGCTAAGTTTAATAGAAGTACAAGAGAAAAGAATGTCGTGTCTGTAATCCCAATATACATCCCAATTTGGCTTTGTTGTTCTTGAGAAGATTTTTTCATGTATATTCCTTTGTAAAATATTGTTAACTCATATATATTCACTACCTGTGGATGCTTTCATATCAAATGGGTCAAACATCAAGAAACTCGATTTTCACCAATATCTTAAAACATTCCAGAATATAAGGACCATAACTTTCATAAAAAATACAAACTTGAAATTGATGTGCAAGTCATCTTTATTAAATTAGCATATTATCTATATACATGTATAAAATCCAGAAAACTAATTACATATAATAGTATGTTGGAAAAATAGAATGACTAACAAAAATGGTTATCATTATAAGCCTATTCCTTTTTACGACAGGGTCATTTCTATGTTTAATTAGCACCATAAAATATGGCAAAAGTGAATGGTGAACTTAAAACATCTGCCATTTAATTAAAATCAGAAATCTTTTCAAAAGTTTAACTCTTTCACTCAATGATATTCATTCATTTCACTTTGAAGAAAAGTGGGAAAGATAAAGTTGGTTCAAGGGAGTTGTTCAACATCAACAGCCGTTTCCTTTTTTACTTTTCTTGAAAAACAGTTCTGAAAATAAATTGGACAGATTATTCACAAATAAAGCCGACATTTATTTGTTCGTTTTTTTTTTTTTGTTTTGTTTTTGTCTGATTTCAAGTATTGTATTTGTTATATTATGTTTTTTTTTTAACTTATAACATTGGTGAATATTGGCATAAATTAGCAATACAAATGCATGAGCTTGCAATTGGTCAATACCAGGGATGGCATGGGAATTACAATGCATTTTTTATTGACAGGTAACAATTTACATTCAATATAGAACAAACTGAAAAACAATATAAAATTCATTATGTACGTTATAAAAAGTTTTCATTTGCAATAACGAAGGTTCACTTTTGCCTTTTCTGGCCCTGTGAATATCTGACCCCCCCTTTCTAGATCCGCCAATGAGAATCACTTATAATGTAGATGTCTTATATGCAAATAGAGGTTACAGTATCATAAATATTTTTTGCGATTTTTAAAACTTTTTTCTCGTATCCAGGTAAAACATTTTATTTCGAGTATATTAATAAAAGAACTATTTATTATATAAATAAAAAAAACATGCCAAAGTTCAAAAAGGGTCATAACTATGGTTTCAAACCTCAAAATGTGCCCCATAATAAGGGAGTGAAAATTTTACCTGCACGGTACAACAGACTGTCCCAGCAGATGCATCAGATGGTTTCAGAAACTCCTATAGCTGCGGAAGGGCAGGAAATGCTCGTGCGGCGCATGTGCCACTATCTCCTTAGGCCGAAGGGACCGAAAGTTGAAAGCCCTCCAAAGTGCCTAAATACAAATGAATCAGAACAGTAAGTCAAATTTTGTATAAAACATTTATAATTGAGCAATAGTTCATAAAAATTCTAACAAATCAAGTCTTACTTACCTTTCATATAACTAAATATGGGAAAAAATGGACAATACTAGGGTAGGATACATATTACATACTATTACAAGTAAATAAATGTAAATTAATACATGCAAAGTAAAATGTAATACATGCAGTTGAAAGTCATATAGGTACATAAGAAAAGAAATCAGAAGCATTCATTTCAAAGAATTAAATTTATATGATGTTAAAATTTCTTATGTCTTGTCAGACAGTCTAAGGGAAGTAACTCTAATATGTGCTCTCATGTACTGAAAACTTCCATCTGTCTCAAGCAAATGAAAAATGGTATATTTAGGCTATGTAAATTTAATTCCTTGGTTCTCAGGCCAACTTTCTCCAAAACAGATGCGGGAGGGCGGCATTTTATTTTTCATTTAAATGGCAAAAAATTAGATGAGGGAGGTATTTTTTTAATTTTTAATTTCCGAATTTTCTTAAACATAAAGATAATTTTTTAAATTACAGATATACTTTCTATTTCTGGTCAAAATTACTGCTTTATCCATTGCTTAACAACGTAAATATCGTAGGTAATGTCCTTGAATGTATTTTCAAGCGAAGGAGCCAAAATCTCATTGTAAATTGCTACCGGAAGTGATATTTGAATACTAAACTACAAAACAAATGAGGTCGGAAATTATTTTCCCGGATTGGTCTCCGCAATATCAACTTTTTATTTTATCAAAAAAACAATAAAATCAGCAATGCGGTTACCTCAAAACAGATGCGGGCGGGCCTGAGAACCAAGATTTCAATTTTATTTGGCCTTACTAAGATTGGCTAATCAAAATTCCTATTTACTGCTACACCTTGAGAAAACAGCCGAGATCTGGAATGAGGTGATCTCTCTCCACCTGCAAGGGAATACGGGGTGCGATGGAACGCTTGAGTGAGATCTGGCATTTGATGAGAGGCGTGGTCTGGGAAGCCGGATGGGCCTTCAATGTACCAAGTGTCTATATGTATCAAGGCGGTACAATCTGTATGAGGAGGTAGAGACCAAATCCCCAGGTAGGAAAGCTGCCACTGTTAACTATGTGCTTCAAGTTGGCCTTAGTCAAACCCCTATAGGCAATGATGGAATGAGGAAAATCTTTCCTTCTACCAACACTCCCCCTCCTACGAGAAAGTCTCTACAAAAGACATCAAACAAAATTATGCCAATTATTGGAAACCTTAACGAGGCTGACATGAGTAACCGGCTGGTGGATGTCAACACTCTAAGGGGAAGTGGCTCCCCACATGCCATCCCTGTACAGTGCGATGGCATGTACAATAACCCCTTGTACTCGGGGGTGGGTGAGACACCCTTCCAGTCAGCGACACAGACTGTATACTCATTTGCCGAGAATGTCACAACAAGACATCAGATGATAAAAAAAAAATTTGTTCAAAGCATGGACACTTACTTGATGAGGGCACTTCAAACCATCAGTGTAGTCCTGGGGGGTGTGTGGGGCAAATCTACCCATGCACCATACCATTCAGGATGACTTCACTTGGACTCGGGAGGGGATGGCGGAACTCCTCTGCAAAGATGGACTCAAGGTAATCATTGACATGGACAGCTCTGTTGGTTGAGCTGCAGATTCCCTCTATAAGGACAATCTGCTGCAAAATATCCCAGTTCACTATATTGACACTCGACACTTGTCCAAGTCAATCAGAAAGTCAATTAAAAGAGATCAGAAACTTTCAGAGGTTATGCCAAAGAGAACCAATTAAAGCAGAAAAACACCAAACTTTTGCATAATTTTGCCCTAGATGCTGTTGACAGATGTACAGCTGAGATTAATCAAGCTCATGCAGTACATATGCTGGAGATGCAGATAAATTAAAAAACAAGCTCTCATATGCCAAACTTGCAATTGTGAAATGTTACATGGGAGACCATGCATCATGCAGAAAACATTCTCTGGTGTGCAAAGGGAAAGTAATAAATAACTGGGTTAGCAAGATTTCTTATTTAGGTCAAGGTTTTACAATACCGTCTTCCACGGAAAATGAGGCAAGGCTCCATGCCTGCATCTCTAAGAGGTTGTCTCCAGCTGTACTGGACAGGACGATCAAAAACACCAACTCGCAAAAGGTTGAAAGCTTCAACAGAACTCTGCGACGATCCCTGCCTTGAAATGTTACTTTCACAAGAAACTTTGCTGGTCGGACCCACAGTGCAGCTCACTCATCAAATCATGGTCTGGGCAGCCCACTCCAAAGTCTCTGTGCAGGGGTTGGTGTCCCCATCCCCACTGGTGGCCAAGTGGACCAGACCCTGAATAAAATAAAAAAATGAGCATGAATAAAATAAATCGTATCAGAAAACTCAATCGTATAAAACAAAAAGGGTAATTAAACGTAAGATATTATATAAACTTTAAGAAGAACATCAGGAAGAAGTAAAATACAAGAAAAACATGATGTTAGCTGAATGCCCGAGGCAATAAGAGAAATCCCCCTGAACACAATTATTCGAAAACAGGAAATAAACAAGTTGATATTCAAAAAATATATTTTAAATTACTATAAAAAATGCATTTAAGGTGGTGAGCCCCACAACAAAACCCCTGGTCCTTGCAGTGGATCCTCTCCTGGTTAGTTGCATGCGGCTCCAGAGTAAGGTGCATCGGGTCGATGCATAACTTCTCATGGCAGAGATAACTGACCTCCAGGCCTGCAAGTGCAAACTGCGACCTAGTCTGTCTCTTCTCTTCCATAAGAGCTACCTGATGCATCCTCTCGACTGTACTGCCCTCCTCCGGCCAATTTACCCTCATCTTCCAATACCCATTTCTAGCCCTCCCCCTTGTCCAAAGCCAGCAACCCCCAACCTTTTCACTTAATGAGGCTAATTTCTCCTTCAGGGTCTCAAATATATCTGGCATTATTCTTAGCTTACTCGATAGGGAAAAGAGTACCAATTAATTTCCTACAGAACTCAATACAAATCTTAGGCCCTCTGAGTACTTACCTATTGTAATTTCAGACATATCCTTGGTATCATTGGAAAAATTTTTCTTTGCACTTACAAAATATACTGAAAACAAGAGGCCCAGGGGCCACAGCGCTCACCTGAGCACATCAGCTAGGAAAAAACACATATCAGATCAGAACTGAAAGTTAATTTAAATTGGGGGGGGGGTGAATTTTAACCCCCAAGGGGATCATAATTTGAACGAACTAGAATCTACATTACCCGAGGATGATTCCATACAAATATTACTAATCCTGGCTTTGAAGTACTTGAAAAGAAGATTTAAAAGGGTTTCCCTATATATTTCTATGTAAAACTTTCGTCAGCTATTTTTGCCACACCCTTACCCCGGGGTCATGACTTGAACAAACTTGAATCTACACTACCTGAGGATAATTTCACATGAGTTTCATCTTTCCTGTTTTAATGGTTCTTGAAAAGATTTTTCCTATATATTCCTATGTAAAACTTTGATCGGCCATTTTGGCTCCGCCCTACCCCCGCGGGTCATGACTTGAACAAACTTGAATCTACACTACCTGAGGATGATTCAACATGAGTTTCATCTTTCCTGGCCCAGTGCTTCTTGAGAAGAAGATTTCTAAAGATTTTTCCTATATATTCCTATGTAAAACTTTGAACAGCCATTTTGGCCCCGCCCTACCCCCGGGGGCCATGACTTGAACAAACTTGAATCTACACTACCTGAGGATGATTCCACATGAGTTTCATTTTTCCTGGCCCAGTGGTTCTTGAGAAGAAGATTTTTAAAAGATTTTTCCTATATATTCCTATGTAAAACTTTGATCGGCCATTTTAGCCCCGCCCCACCCCCGGGGGTCATGACTTGAACAAACTTGAATCTACTCTACCTGAGGATGATTCCACACGAGTTTCATCTTTCCTGTTTCAATGGTTCTTGAGAAGATTTTTAAAAGATTTTTCCTATATATTCCTATGTAAAACTTTGATCGTCCATTTTGGCTCCACCCTACCCCCGGGGGTCATGACTTGAACAAACTTGAATCTACTCTACTGAGGATGATTCCACATGAGTTTCATCTTTCCTGTTTCAATGGTTCTTGAGAAGATTTGTAAAAGATTTTTCCTATATATTCCTATACAAACTTTGAACGGCCATTTTGGCCCCGCCCTACCCCCCGGGGCCATGACTTGAACAAACTTGAATCTACTCTACCTGAGGATGATTCCACATGAGTTTCATTCTTCCTGGCCCAGTGGTTCTTGAGAAGAAGATTTTTAAAAGATTTTTCCTATATATTCCTATGTAAAACTTTGATCGGCCATTTTAGCCCCGCCCTACCCCCGGGGGTCATGACTTGAACAAACTTGAATCTACTCTACCCGAGGATGATTCCACACGAGTTTCATCTTTCCTGGCCCAGTGGTTCTTGAAAAGAAGATTTTGTTAAAATGCCATTAATTTTTTTAAAAATCATGATTATCTCCCCTTAGAAAAGGGCGTGGCCCTTCATTTGAACAAACTTGAATCCCCTTCACCCAAAAATACTTTGTGCCAAGTTTGGTTGAAATCGGCCCAGTGGTTCTTGAGAAGAAGATGAAAATGTGAAAAGTTTACGACAACGACAACGACGACGACAAAGACAACAACAGACGACGGACAAATTTTGATCAGAAAAGCTCACTTGAGCCTTCGGCTCAGGTGAGCTAAAAATATAGGGTCCCATGGCGTTTATAGGTCAAAATGGCCCTTTTCTGCAACTTTGAGAGATCGGCAGTAAATAACATGTTATGTCAAAAATCAATCCCCACTCCTAAAACTTCCCCTGGCTTTTCTATACTTTCTATAATATTTCCCCATTCCATCATTCATTTCAAACATTAATATTTTTACTTTAAAATTAAGATAATTACTTACCTGAATTTAGCCAATCAGATAATGCCTACCCATTCAGTACTCGACTCTACATGCGCCACAAATAAAGCCATGTGCACATCCAAGGTTTGGTACTCTCACTCCTATACTCACATTGTTACCTACCTTGGAATTAGTCAATTTAGTAATTTTTAAAGACTTTAAGCTTACCCGAGTACATGTATGAAATTTGAGTCCTGCAACCTCAGCGTCTTGGGTACTGTGACCTTCTGAACTGATGACACCCTACTGCGGCCAACTGTGTTAGACTAAGATAATTACTTACCTGAATTCAGCCAATCAGATGATGCCTACCCATTCAGTACTCAACTCTACATGTGCACATCAGAGGATTTGGTACTCTTATTGAAAGAAAGCAAAGAACCAAAGATCCATAGCTACCTTACAGACGATTCGGCCTACTCAAGTATTAAAAGAAAATCACTTGTTTCTACTTATAGATTATACACAAAGCTTTTCAATTCAAAATCAAACTCCATGTATGTAATCATTTGTGAACCAGTGTTATATTTTCAAAGTTGCAAGTTTGTTGCATGACAGTAATTTTACTTGCTCTAAACAAGATTGTTTGAAATTTTAAAAATAATACAGGCTAACAGCTATGACTTTGGGTTATTAAAATAGTTTAAGACTGTTTTCCCCAAGATACTTTCAATATGCAATGTTGTATTATATATCTCTTTTAAAAATTATTTATACATGTATTTATAAAATGAAAGAAAACATAGGAAAATGCACACAGAGAAAAAAAAATCATAATTAAGTAACACGCACTGTGAGACTCGAACTCAAGATTGTTATGTCATCAATCCAGCATTTTTTTTTTTTATCTTTTATGCAATGTTGTATTATACATATCTTAAAAATTATTTAAACATGTATTTATTAAATAAAAGAAAACAAAGGAAAATGAACACAGAGAAAAAAAAATGAAATCGTAATTAAGTAACGTGCACTGTGAGACTCGAACTCACGATCGTTATGTCTTCAGTCCAGCAATCATACCACCACGCCAGGAAGTCTTGATAACCAAATGGATAAAATTGAGACAGATGTGTTTTTCTGGTTAAGGGTGGTCTTTTCCTACAGTTTGTCATTGTTTAGGGGGGTACCTCAGTATTTACTACATTCTCCATATAAACTGAACAATTTTTATAACTATTATATTAGGGAACTATTAATAATTGAGTATTATTTTTGTGTGAGTTGCTTTAAAGCATGTATAAACTAACATTGTATGACAAAATTTTGGTTAAGGAAAGTATTTAAAAAATCACTACTAGAGTAGGCGAAAGTGACTATCAAATGAGCTATGGCTCTTTGATCTTAAATGGGCGACCAAAAAAAAAGTTATTGGGAAAAGCCAGAAAATTTGTGGAAGGAAGAATGACAGACAGACAGACAGAGTGATTACTATAGGGCACCCACAAATCCTTGCGGTGTCTTAATTAAAATTGAAAATTCTGTAAATTTTATTAAAAACTACTCCTTTAGTTGCAATCTTATTGCAATATGTATATTGCCAGAAAAAAGTGACTTAATCAAGGATTATTATTCTAATTGCTGTTTTAATGTTTGAAGAACAAACTGCTACTTTTCTCTTAGTTTGTTATAAGTATAAACCAGTAAAGCTACAGTCTCAACAGACACTTATGTCTCAACAGACACTTTGTAAGTAGGGCAACCTGTTCAATTTTTTGTGTAGTAAATCATCAAAAAGTGGTGTAATGAGCCTCCTTTCACATGTATGTTTGATGAAATATTTAATAAAATTTTCCTTTTCAGTTAAATATCTTTATCATGTTTATATCTTGCAAATAAACCCTCTCGAAATACTACACTGTACTACATGTTAGACATTCATCAAAACTTTATGTTGATATATTACCTTCAATTTGTAGATGTTTTCTATCTTCAAAACATGTAGACTTTACTGCATGGAAGTCTGATCATTGAAAATGGATGTGGAATCTAATCTTGATCTCAACGAAGATTTCTAAACACAAAAAAAAAACACAATCATTACCAACATATGATACATGTTATCACATAATTTCAACACTATACTCTTCTTTAACAAAAAATTTGCTTTGTATTTATTACTGATAAATTATTTATACTAATTTATATTACCGGTAATTAAATCATTCCAATAATGTCACGTTCTTTCAACCAATGAAAAGGTACCAAATAATTTTTTCATTGATTATAAAAAAGAGCTTAACTTATTATGAGGACCAGTGACTTTGAAATTAAGATTACTAGTATATGTGATAATAAACTAAATCCATTTTTCATCCAGGAAGATGACAGATAATTCCCGTTCAAAATAATGTCAACTCAAAATTAGTCTGAATCTTTATTTTTTTGAGTTCTCACATGAATTTCTATAGCTTCATGATAACTGAAAAACAACGATTTTTTGTGCACACAGGCTTCCAGAGAACCAGTAACATATACATGATCTAAAGTTGTTCCACCCTCTGTTGTGTAAAACTGCACCAACTGCATAAATCCCATAGATTCTAAGAATGTTTGTATGGGTCCTTGGGCTTTGGCATCTTCATTCATGTCACCAATAATGAACAAGTTGCTAAAACGCTTCTTGTAAAAATCCACCACTTTTTGCAATGTGTCAAGAAAATTGTTTACAGGTAGTACACTCGGTCGGTAGAGTACAATGATTGCAATATCCTCCTCATGGATTTCTACAGTTAATCCCTCTATATTCTTGTATTCCAAAGCATTGATCAAGATTGTCTCATTGGTTTTCTTCTTGTACACTCCAACCCCACCACCTTTAGCTGTTTTTAGTCTTGTCATCACATCTTCACTATCATCGTAACACTGGCTACGTGGAATATGGTGAAAGTCAAACCCTGAAATTTCAATATCTCGGATGTTCTCATTTTCTCTCAGCCATGTTTCTGTTAAACATACAAAATCAGCTTTCATCAACCTGCTGTCACAATTCATCTCCTGAAAGTGTCCTCTCAAACTCTGCACATTAAACAATAGAATTGTTTTGTAATTTTCAAACTTTGCTACATTGCATGTCAATTCTTCATCTAAATTGTATCTTACCATTCTATTAAGTGCTAACTTCACATCTAAATCAGCATAAATTTTTTTCTGCAGGACACTTTCATCATTCATCTCAATGAACAGACCATCTTTTGAAGTAACACGGCTGACTGCTACATATGCTTGACCAGGAGAGAAAGTCCGATCTAAGTTCACAACAACACTCTTGGCGGTCATGCCTTGAACTTTATGTGCTGTGCATGCCCATGACAGTTTCAGTGGAAATTGATGTCTGACAATACTCTTTATATTTTTCTCATTCATCTCTTCCTCCACTCTTTTAATTGGGACAATATTCCCTTTGGGTGTTTTCTTCCCTTGTATTTTACCAATACTTGAACTATCAAAAATGACTTCAACTACTTCTACTGCTGGTGCAGGCTGTTTTCTTTTAAACACAAAATTTGAAATATATCCCATTGCACCATTCACTAGTCCATCTTCAACACATACATTTCGTGTCAGCATTACTCTTGCATTCACAGCCAAAAGTAAGGTAGCAGAGAGGCCATCAACTCGGGTACTAACCAAAGGTTTGTCACGTAAAGTTAATTTCCCCGTTGTCTTATCTTTCTGATAATCATCTGCATGCACTTCAATTAATTCCTCACAATTCCCATGCAGCATTTTAAGATTGAATTCATTGGCCTCTTGGTTAGTAGAATAAACATGAAGAACATCATCTGGTCCTTCTCTGATGCATTCCCGCAGTGTTTCCAATGCTTCATCTGATAAAGGTTCTTCACATGTTCGAACACGCAATGAATTCAGAACAGTTGCAAATGCTTTATCTTCACGTTGTCGCATAATTTCATCTAATTCTACAATTTTAAAAAAATCTAGCCAGAAGTCAACTGGATATGAACCATTTTCTTTGTACAATCTTTCATCTTTTCGTTGTTTAACAGGTGGAAGTTGATAAAAATCTCCAACTGCTATCACAGATACACCACCAAATGGATCTTTACATTTTTTGATTTGGACAAGTCGTTCATGAATGTAATACAACAATCTTTTGTACACCATGGAAACCTCATCAATGACCAAAATCTGCAAATGTTCTAATCTCGTTCTTATCCCACTCAAACTTTGTTCCTTCAAGGGTTGATATGGAATTGGTAAAGCTTTTGTTAAAGAAAACACATGATGAATGGTATTTCCTCCAATATTGAATGCTGCTGTTCCTGTAAAAGCTGTGAGAATCACCGATACTGCATTTGGAGAAGGCAATGATTTTTCAAAGAGACGAGAAGCTTCATAGTGTATTGTCTTAATCAGATGGCTTTTCCCTGTCCCTGCTCCTCCAGTTATAAAAATGTGCATAGGTTTTACATTCTCTCCAGTCATTTTCTTGACACACCATTCATGAACAGCATAAAAGATGAGCTTCTGTTTGTCATTCAAACTGCACAGTAAAGGAAGCATCTCTTTTCTGGTGCTTTGAGTCTCTCTTAAATGATATATAGCATCATCAGAGCCACTACACTCAATTTCATTTGTGACCTCTGATTCTGTATTCTCCTGATCATTTCTTAATTTTTCATTCAAACATTCTCTTCGATTTAATTCTGTTTCTGGACATAAACTTGCCCATGCGTCCTCTAGTTCACCAAGCATTTCTAATGCATCCTGGGCATTTTCAATATCATCCTCACTTTTTGAGAAGTAAACATGATTACTGTCCACTATGCTTTTAACTTTTTCCAAGTTTGTGTTTGGTTTCACCCTCACATGTCCACTCTCATAAAATGTCTGGTACAAATCAAATCCAGCTGGTCTCAACTGATTCAGATTCCAGTATGGAAGGAAAAGTTGTAGCAGACACTGATAATATTTCTCAGGTGCGTTATCTCGATGGAATCTTGGATATCGTATTACAGCAGGTTTGCCTCTACTTCTCTTTTGAATGTAACCCTTTCCATTTCTCAATTCATACACACCATCTTTTTTGCCCGTAGGGATCTGAGATTTACTAAGCACTCTGTACTCTGAGCAAAATTCAGCAAGACACATTTTATGGAAAATATTTAACTCTGGGCGGTTTTCATACCTTTCCACAATATTTGTCATCCACATACTATCTTCTTCCTCATCATTGTCATCTGCATTTAAATCATTTTCATCAACCTCAATTTCCCGATTTTTTTTTATTTGTGCAAGAGGCTTACTCAGACGAGTTGGATTTTCCCCCACAGGAATGAAAATGACTTTTCTTGAACTTTCTTTCATCTTCAGATTGCACACCCTGTATACTGCTTCCTGTGCACTGACCTCTCTGTGATTGAGATAAGCTGATCCTACTCTCTTGATGGTATCATGTGCACTCAAATTTCCCTCTGCTGCTTCAAGTTGAGTTTGTTTTAATAGCATTCCCATCTCCCTTTCAGACTTTGAAATGTATGATATAATGTAGACAATGCAGCTGAAAGGGTCTAATACATACTGTATATCCATATTTGCATCCCAGCTTTTGAGCAGGCATGGGTTGTACTGATTTGTCCACATTTCTGTTGGATTTCGTTTCAAAACAGTCAATGTTTTAGAGGCCAATACTCTGTGTGCTTTTTCATACAAATCCTGTGATAAGTTTATATTGCTGAATATTTCCTCTGTTGTTTTAAATGCCTTTGCATCATCCATTACTTCATTCCACACCTTCAACAAAATCTCC